TTTCTTGAAAAATATGCATGAAACTACTGTGGCTTTTTCCCCCTCATCCCCTCCCCTTCAAGGCAAATGAAGACTGAACAAAGATGTGCTGAGAATGTGCTGTTCATCTAATTTAACTAAATTCAAAATAGATAGAACCAGTCTCAGATACTGCTGCAACTTATTGGACTATTAAAAAGTTAATGTCTGGTATAGAAGGCATTGTTACACCAACTTGTTTTTTAAGGGGAAGGGGAAGAATGTGAAGGAAGTGGTGAGAAGGAGTCAGTAAATGTTTTTGTGCCTTGATTGGAAGTTACATTGTGAACTTTTGACTCAATAGGTTGGGAAAGGGAATTGCTCACTAAAATTATTACTGTTATGTGGGGTTTTTACAGAACAGAAATGCAAAGATCAATTGTTTAGCTAGGAAAATGTCCCATCCTAAAATTCTACTAAACAAAAATTCAAACCCCAACATTTATAGGTATTGTTTGGTTTAATTTTTGTTGTTATTATTAAGTATGAAATGTCCTCCAGATCTGATTAAGCATGTAGGTACATCATGCTTATTAAAAAATCTTTGGCACATGTGTGCATATACCTTTGAAATTCTGCTAAAAAGAAATCCTGCCATCACAGCATAATCGGAATGGAATATACAGTTTTGATCAGAGGAGTGAATACAGTGTCTGCTTGGACCCTATTTTTGTGAAACTGAAAGATAATGAGGAATATTTTCTTCTTCTTCATGTGCTGTTCAACACAAAATCCCAGCACAAGAGCGCTGAACATTTCCTCTCATACCAACTCCACGAGTCTCCTGTTAACTCTCATCTTTTGTACACATGGAACATAGTAAGGTACTGTTTCAAAGCAGATGTGAGCACAGTCAGTCCTTTCAAGTAGGGTAAGGCACAACACACTTCCAGAACCGCTCTGTCTGTGGAGAACATTTGTTTGGAATCACATGACAGAGACCCACGATGTGGCCAAAATCCAGCTTGAACTGGCAAAGACTAACACATGTTACCAGGGGAAATGCTGAGGGGGATTTCTAATGAAGGAAAAGATATTTAAAGGAAAATGTCTTGCACCAAGCATAAAGAGAATGATAGTACAGCTGACACTTAAATCTTCCACTGGCTGAATGACCCTGAGTGCTTATTAAAGCCTGGCTCAACAAGGTTGCTATCCAGTACAGCTGTACGACTCCACTAATCTATGCCAGTTTTCCTGCAAAACAAAGGACAGCTTCTGTTTCTCTAGAGCTGGAAGCTGGACACCTCCTACTAGCTCTGACAAAGGGCTAAAGGAACAGAGCTTCCAGTATTCAGGCGTGAAAGCATTAGCATTTGTCAGGCTTCGCCTCAGCATTTACAGAGTTTATTCATTAAGAATATCACATTTAATCCAGTCATTAATTTTAAGTTACTATATAGAAGTAAACTCATTTTCATGTCTATTAGCACTTTGTTAGGCTGCCTTTGTAGCTGGTTCAACATCCTCTGCTGATCCAAGTTACTAAAGCCAAGGGCTACAGAATCGCCGTGTGGATAAACCTGTGCCAATTTATTGTGTGTGGGAGACGAGAGGTGTTGCCAATAACTGTCCTTGCAACAGCAACCACCAGTCTGGGACACAGCATTAGCTGTACTCCTCACAGTCCCTTGCTGAAGTCTGTGAGAGGAATTTAGTCCTTCTCAATCACCTGCCAGTGGTCCTAGGTCCGTGAGTGAAAATGTCACGCTGCTACAGAGTTACTGTGGAGGCTTGGAGAGAAAAAAATCGTGCTATGAGAAATGCACTTGTGGGAGGACAGCAGGCTGAGAATACTTATGCTGCTACTATCCATTGATAAATACAACCTTTTATCTGTTGGCATCCTTAATATGCACTAATAAAACAAATCCAGAAAGAGAAACTGTAGTAGGAGATCAGAATATTGATATGAAAGTAAGACAAACAGCACTTTCCTGTTCTGGGAACGTGCCCAAGTGAGATCTGGCTTTGGACTCGTAATGCAGTGTAGATTGAAGCTGAGATCTAACAGTGGGAGTTAGAATATTTTTTTATATTTTTGTAACTACAGCTTTTTCATGGGGTAGTATTTGTAATCTAATAAGTCAATAGATTTTATATTTGCCTTGCATTTGCACCTGTTACTTCTGGAAAAAAATGTAAAGGTTTACAAGTTTCTAATGATAATTTACAGGTGTGAAAGGCTTTTTCTTTTCAGTCGGGACAGCAATTCTTACACTTTTAAATCAAAATATAATGACATAAACTGAGTTTTTTCTAAACATTCTATTATGGTGCCTTTTATGTTTGTGACATTATAAGGGATAACAATTTGTTCTTGATGCATCTCATGTGGAAACGTGGTGATTTCTATTGTCCATCCACAATATTTGTATGTATTGTGATAAGGTTAATGTGCATTTTTGTGGAACAATGCTGTAAAGCTAAGAAAAGAGGCTTATTTTCCATGTCTTTGAAATCTTTCATCAATAACAGACAATCCTTACTTTCAAATGCATGCTTCTAGGTTTGATCTTCCTACAGGTGCTCCTTATAGCAGTACTTCAGATGTATGAGACTTCCAAATAATAAAGCACATATTAAAAAAAGGGTAATAATTCTGTTTCCTATTTCACTGAAACCACACCAGCTGGATTACACTATGACACATCAAGCCCCTGTTCAAACCAGTATTTACTAGTATTTAGTATGCATGTACCAGATCATTAATCTCTGCATCACTTCAATTTATGGACTTGAAATTTGTCCAACTTGTTACTGCAGAACTAATTCCTACTGTTGCAGAACTGTAAACAGAGATGGTCTTGGGCAAGTTTATGCTCATAATTAATCATACAATGTAAAGAGTTGTAACCAGGAGTTTGGCAAGCCAGACTTTTTTCTTCTAAGAGAGGATCAACCAGTCAGTTGAGGCTGATCAACTGTGTCATGAAAGCTTTTGTGAGGGGTTTGTTTGTCAGTGTTGGTTGCTCCCATTTAAAAAAAAAAACTTCTTACATGGTTTATGTGAGATTAAACTTAATAATCTTTTTTTTCAGTGACACCACAGAATTACTTTATTGTGTTTTTTTGGTTATTCCAAATAAAATGACATTTAGGGAAAGGGAAGTTAGTTCTGCTTCCCTAAACATACATGCTCCCAAAGCAGAATTTTCTCTTCTTTTTATCAGGTATTTGAGTGTTTTCTGGAACAGAAACTTTTTCTCCTTTTTTTTGGTAGGAGGCTGGTGGAGGTATGTTATTTATTTTACAAACAAGATGGTCTGATATGAAATGCTTATATTATGAATTGTCAGATTTTTTACAGCTTTTTTTTTCAGTGACATAGGCTGTCCCATCTGGCTCAGGAGATAAGGGTGCTGTACCAGATGCATATGATACAGAAAAAGCTACTACAGAGAACTTACAGCATGAACTGTATACACTCTGTGAAAACCACTAGCATTTTAAAATATTGTCTAAATTCCTTTTTATAAATTTCCTTGGTCAAATTTGTACAAAACCCAAGAGGCTCATGCCTCTGGTATGATTTTTTATTTGGATGCATGTAAAATAATAAGTTTCTTCAAGGAATTCTACTTTTAAGGATACAGATTTGAATATTCAGTATTAGTTGTAGTCATGCCTTTCTAATGTTCCACTTTATTACATGTTTATTAAATCCTGTGTTCACGTGATTAGAATTTACACAACCTGTAACAATTTGCATGAGGCAGAACAGGTCATTGACTTTGCTAGCTTGGAAGCTTTGAAGCCCTGCATATTTTGCACACTGAACAGCAGTAAAGTAGCTAAACCCAAACCTCAGCTCTGAAATAGGGCAGAAAGGTTTCCCTGTGGGGCAGAAAGGTTTCCCAGTACCTGCCCAAGTCCTGGAAGTGTTCACTCCTTGTGTGGCTGCTCCAAACAAGTAATGAAACAGCACAATTAATTCGTTCAGGACCAACTCGTGTGTGTGTGTGTGGTGTGAGCCTGCCCAGCTCCTGTCAGGGCACGGGGGTCATAAAATCATAGAAAACTGCTGAGGGGTTGAAAGGGACCTTGAAGACCATCTAGTCTCAGCCCCCAGCCGTGGGCAGGGACACCTTCCACTAGATCCAGCTTGGCCTTGAGCAGTGTCAGGATTGGGGCATCCACAGCCTCCCTGGGCAACCTCTGCCAGCACCTCACCACCCTCATAGTGAAAAATTTCTTTGTAATATCTAACCTAAATTTCCCCTCTTTCAATTTGTACCCATTATTCCTTGTCCTATCGCTACAGGATGGGATAGGGTAGGGTAGGGTAGGCTAGGCTAGGCTAGGCTTTGAGCCTCATTGCCCATCCCTCGGGCACCCCCGAGACGAGGCACCCGCAGATCCCCACCCTTCTCTGCCCTCCCTTCTGACGGGAGCCGGGGAAACCCCAGGGTACCCTCGACCCCCGCCCCGGCGCTCCCAGGCCGCCCCATCCCCTCCCCGAGGGTGTGTCCGCCCCATCCCCTCCCCGAGGGTGTGTCCGCCCCATCCCCTCCCC